TTGTGAGGCTGCAACAATTTCTGCCTTTCAGAGTCAGGAGAGAACTATTGGTTATGGTTGGATAGATTGACAGTCATCCCAGCCCAGGAAAGATAGTCCCAGCCCCGCCAACTGGAGATAGCATGTGAGGTTGCAACAATTTCTGAAATCTTGGCCTTTAATAGATACCAAATAAACAATATAAGTGTACAGTATTGATTTTTGTTTAACCTTTGAGGGTTCAAGTAACATGACCTGGAGAGATATAAAAGCAAACCCGGGTATCTGTATTCTTCCTACTGTTTTTGGGAGGGAAGCTAACTTGAAATGGGAAAATTGGTGGATCAGCGGGGGAGCGGCTTAGCCTTTAACAACCAATCCATATTTACATAATATGCAAATAGTTTCCATATTCTGCAAATTAGCTCTCTGGATTTGGGTGGCTAGACTTTGGCAAACCGAGATTAGTACAAAATTTATGCTGATCCAGTGGGGTGCTTCTTACGGTAGAATTATTTCCTTGTGGCACCTTTAGGTCCGAAGTATTTCCTTGATATAAAGCATAACATTATGCATCCAGTTCTAATTAACTGGGCGGAGTAGTGGAGTATTACTAGAGATGTCGCATTAAAGGAGCCAATTTAGCAAATTGGGGTAGGCCTTCTCCATTTGGTTCGGAGCAGACAGAATCTAGGACGAGGGTTAGTGCTAAGATGCTGGCATTAAAGAAAATTGATTTGTTTTTAATGGAACCGTTAAGAAATATGACGGAATTTAATTTGTTGATGAATGGGTCCATCGAAATATAAATCAAAACTTCTAAAATGGCCAGCAATGTGTGAAAGCGATGAGAAACGTGACTTGTTGGCTCTCAGAAATTGCCATTAGCGTTTAACAATTAAAAGATAAGAAATTTTAAATCTGTTATTGAAAAAGTTAACCAAGTTACAATTAACAAGCAAATAATAATGATCTTAGAACTGCAGAGCCGGAAGGGGCCCCATGGATCATGGAGGGAGGCACTGTGGGGAATTGAACCCCCAACGCCTAAAGCACTGAGCTATCCTATTGAACAAAGTATTTTCCAGTTACTTTCCTCTGTCTGCAGTGAGGTTTTGAATCTGAATCCTTATGGCAGACCTGCAAGAGAGGCGATTATCACCATCTCTCCCCTCCACTACTTTCATATTGTTCCCGAAGCATCTCAAACCTTCCAAATTAGATTTTCAGCAGATGCGTATTTTTCTCTTCTGGGGGAAAAATATTAAAAATTGGGGGGGGGATCACACGTGCCTTTTCAAAGCAAGTATGTCCAATCAGTGGGATTTTGCTCACACGATCATTGAATGCACGCTGGTAGTGGTGTAATCTTAAATTTGGAAGTGTAGGCATTCATTATGACAGTCCCCATAGTTAAGCCCTCCTTAGATTTTTGAAAAATGCAGACTTCCGGGTCAGTCCACATCTGTAAATAAGGAGCAGGTCTTTTGCAACGCTAACAGCTCCTCATTGCCCACTGAAGAACAAACCACCTTTGAAGACTTTGCATTGGAACAGGGATGTTGTTGTCCTGTGCTCTCAAGTTGATTCCGACTCATGGTAATCCCTGCCAAATTTCTGAAGTGGTTCCCCATGGCCACCATCTCGCCAATCCCTGCCAAATTTCTGAAGTGGTTCCCCATGGCCACCGTCTGGCCCGTTTCCATGACCAAGCAGGGATTGGAACTCAGGTTTTCTGAGTGACAGTCTGATACTCTATCCACGACATCCTCCTGGCCGTCCACAACAGCGATGGCCTGCAAGAACCGTTTCCATGACCAAGCAGGGATTTGAACTCAGGTTTTCTGAGGGACGGTCTGATACTCTATCCACTACATCCTCCTGGCCGTCCACAGCAGCGATGGCCTGCAAGAACGTACATTTCCTGGGGAAAATAATTTCTCCTCCTAGCTGCTGTAAGAGTGGTAGCTAAATTCAGAGACAGGACAGGCTGCTGTAAGAGTGGTAGCTAAATTCAGAGAGAGGTAAGTTTGAAATGGACGGCGCATGATGTTCTAGTCCCTGTTGATCAGAAAGCCCCAGGGCTTTGACCCTGCAGAATCTGGCTCTACTACAGCTGTTGTTGGCATTGCCGGAAATCGCATGTGAAGGCAGTGTGTTATATAAATCACAATCGGATGGTCCATGTTGGCCCAGTAACCTCCAGCTGCTGTTCCTGTTTACATGAATATTGCATCACAGCTGCATCTTCCACCAAGTGACCTCAGCCAGCTGTTCAGAGCTAACATGAAGTGATGGTAGGTTTGAAAAAGAACCCTCGCAGGGCGCTCATCTTTATGCAAAGCTGATGGCAGAGCCGTTCCTCAGCTCTGCAGGCACAGCGACCCGCAATGTAGCCCTAAAAGGCAGGATGTGTTAAGTGCCTAAACTTAGCTGGAAACGTTTTCAGGGTGGAGTTCGTTCAAGTCATATTGCCTCTCCCCCCCCACACCCCTTTCGATTATTTCTGAAGCCTAGCTCCCTACAATAGATTCAGAGAAGCGGAGCGCGGGCTGGTAACCTGAATCGATATAATTAGCGTGTCTGGTCATAGATCAAAAACGGTTAAAAAGAAAACCTTTTGTTAGTCAAACTACTGACATCCTAATAATAGAGCTTGCAAGGCACAGAGTTTAAATGGCCCAGGAAATGATAAGTCAGGCAAACCTTCGATTTATTACTTTTGCCACTGCTCATCTCAGAATCACAAGTGTCAGTTTGGAGTGTTGTTATTTCCAAAAAGCTATTTTTTAAAAAAAGATAGAGGCAAGTTAATTTGTTTCTGTATAGCTAATAGCTACAGGGTAATCCACAAAAGCTCACGCTATAGGAAATCTATGGGTCTTGAGGGTATCGTAGCACTTTTGGTGCCTCGCATTATGATGTTAATTTGTTCCAGCGAAATCATTGTAGAACGAAAACGTCATAATGCGAAAATAAAAAGCCCATGGAAACACATTGAATCCCGTTCAGTGCATCCCAATGGGCTGGAAACTCACTGTCCAGCAAAGATCCTCCATAGGGCAGCCATTTTCGCTGCCTGTGCAGCGAGGAATCAGTCCCAGAAAACAGCGGGGAGCCATTTTATTTACATGGCGGCCATTTTTAAACTACCGATCAGCTGTCCGAAAATCGTGGTTTTGTGAAGAATTGGTTCCCAAAGCAGGGAACCGATCATCGCAAAGCAAAAAACCCCTATTCAGACCATCGTTTTGTGATCGCAATTGCGATTGCAGAAAGATCATCGTAATGCGGTTTCGTCGTAATGAGGGCCAATCATAAAGCGAGGCATGACTGTACTTGAAAGGTAGTTATACAGAGGGGGGACAAGATCTGTTCTCGATCCTCCCAGAGTGTGTTGACAGTGGTGGTTCTGGTGGTGGTTATGTGCCATCAAGTTGCCCCGACTTACGACAACCCTATGAACGAATGATCTCCAACATGGCCTGTCTTCAACAGAACTGGTCAGCTCATACAAACTCAAGCCCATGGCTTCCGTTACGGAGTCGGCCCATCTCATATTTGGTCTTCCGATTTCCCTGCTGCCTTCCACCTCTCTCAGCATTATTGTCTTTTCAAGAGAACCCTGCCTTTTCATGAACATAATCCTGGCTACAGGAAAAAGGAAAACAGGCTGAATATGAGGAAAAACTTCATAACTGTTAGAGCGGTATGACGGTGGAACTAATTACCTTGGGAGGTGTTGAACGCTCTAGAGCTGGAAGCATTCAAGAGAAAATTGGACAACCTTCTATCAGATCTTTGATCAGAACTCATGCATTGAGCAGGCCCCTTCCAACTCAATTATTCTGTGATTGCTTTTTTTATTTTATTTTTTTGCATTCCAAAATATAGCTCTTTCTTCAGTTTTCAAGGTGTATCTTTATGGATGGAATGAGGCCTCAGATCTATCAGGGCACAATCCGTTATGTGTCTACCCAGAGCTAAGTTCTTTCAATCTCAACTACACTTACCCTTGATCAGTGGATATGGCATTTCTGTGCCTACTTCTAGTCATGAAACCCTATGCATATCTACTCAGGAGTAAGTCCCCCTCTGTCCAGTGGGAACTACTCCCAGTTTTGTGGGTGTAGGATACGTGCTTTCTTAATTACGGCCGCCCTCTCTCCCTCCATACACATATTTCAAGACGTATTCATTTTACTCACAATGTGGTTGCAGAAAAGTAAATATTTGGACAACAGACAGACAATATTTATAAGTAATAAACAAATTAATGCGTCTATAAGAATTAAGAAGACAGACCACAAGAGGAATTATTTCCAAGGAAATCTTTATTGGTTAAATCTGTATCTCTTAAGCAACTACAATGCTACTAATACTTCTCACTCAGCATTGAAGGTGGTGCTCTGGTCCATGTACCGAGTGCAAAACTGTAGATGTATGAGGGCAGAGTCGGTAGCTTTTGTTATTTAATTAATCTTGGGAGTGCAACGTTAAAATGTTTTAAGCCAGCAGACAAAAAGAACAGCTTGGAAGGGGTTAGTGGTCTTTGCATCAAAATGGCGGTCCTCTTGTTTTCCACATTAGGGGTTGAAGAATAAATAATGGGTGGAGTTTCTCTACTTTTCTTTTTTTTCTAGTAAAGCTTTATTCTAATCATCTAACTTAAATTTGAATCCCAATTTAACATTGACTTAATGGTCAATATTCTTCCCCTTCTGTCTTGAAAATCACTGAATTAGATTTTTGGGGCTCACTCTTCATCCTTTTGTAGTAATGTCTTTGGAAACTCTTGTGTGTTGACAGTGGTTGTTGTTGTGGTGGTGGTTATGTGCCACCGATTTGCCCTGACTTATGACAACCCTATGAACGAATGATCTCCAACATGACCTGTCTTCAACAGAACTGGTCAGCATCTGCAAACTCAACCCTATGGCTTCCTTTATGGAGTCAGTGCATCTCCTATTTGGTTTTCCTCTTTTCCTGCTGTCCAGCATGATGGTCATTTCCATGGTCATTTCCCGAGAACCTTGCCTTTTCAGGATGTCCCCAAAGTAGGACAACTTCAGCTTCCACATTGTTGCCTCCAAAGATAGTTCAGGCTTGATTCTATCTTAGGACCCATTTGTTAAGAATGGTACTGAAATGATAATTACATCCAACGAGGAAAACGTGGCATTTCTCGCGATAGTGATTCAACCCTCGGTGCCATCAGCTGAACCATTCTGTAGAAAACCAGGGTTTTGTGCTTTCTGTCCCTCTTCTTCCTTTCCATGTCCATCTGTTGGCATTTCTGCGTTGCCTAAGTAAATATTGTTGCTGCTTTCTGTGGTTTATGAAGTGGAGCCATGCCCCATTATTTGGATGCACTAGGATAAGGAAAGTAATTTTAGATAAAGGCCACATTTTAATAGGACTGTAAATCTGGCACATGTATTTAAAGACAAGAAACATCCTCCAAGATTTTTCGGACGGATAAACATTGCCATTTCCTTACATGATGAGAGAAAACACATATACTTAGAACCGAAAATGAGCAGTACATAGATTCCGTTTTAAAACTCAATGATCAAATAAGTACTTATTGCCAACTGGAGCTAATCAAATCGTTTACCTGTTGCTACTGGGCATGTAGGAGTTTCTTCAAGGCTGAGCTAAAATGTACCCCTACATAGGCAAAACTATAAGTTGATTCACATTGCTCATTCAGTTCAAAAGTACACAGAAAAGTATATAATCGGGACATATAATATTTTTAATGTTATATCTGCGTAGTATAAAATCTCTGTGATATACAAGGCTAGTTTGCACAGTATTTGTGATTGTACTGTTAAATTGCCATGAACTCAACAAGAAATCAGTTAATTCATTGATTTGCATGCAGGGAAATAGCACATACTGTAAAGTGGGTGTGCAGTTAATTGCTACACAAGAATAGTTGATTTCCTGCTAGCTTTAACTAAATAACATAAAGCAAAGCAAAACAAAAAGTCTGAATATTCCGTTAATCTGTTTTGTACTTGTTAGTAGGGGTCTTCTAGAAGGGGTCCTGGTGAATTAAAATGTTTGTGGATGTTCTGGATGCATTTTTCAGCTGAATTCAGATTTTCCTTGAACCTAAACACAAGACTGAAATTCTCCTCTGGAGGAATACTACGAAATCCTTGGACCCTACGCTTTCTTTCTTTATATCTTTATAAAAGATAATTTTCATTTTAGGTAAAGAAAGGTGGGTTTCTTCCAAGTCCTTAATGAACCAAGCCAACGTCTGAGTTATCCGCAGCCTGCCTAGATAGCCCCTTATCTTTAAACTACCAATTCTGGTGTTTTTGTGGCTATAAAATGTCAACCTGATGAATGGCTGTGTCCATAAAAGCCAAAGGTCCTGAAAGATGTTTTAATTTCCGGTCTTTGGTTCAGCCTGATATTGTATCCTGGCTTGAGGTATGTCCTGGCTATTTATCTTTGCTTCTCAATGTTGGACTGAAGTGGTTGTGAATCATATACTTATTTCCTTTTTCCAAAACAGATACATATATTGGAGATGGTATTAATAGATTTAAGACTAGCTGGCAGGAAAAACTCAAGACGAGGCAATAGTGGATTCGAGCATCTGCTTCCGATGCTGGGGATTGCCAACAATATTTGCAATGTCTCTCCTCTCATGTACATGGATGCATCTAAAGATATCTTTGTGGATTCTGGCACAATCACAGTGTGGTTAGGATAGCTCAGTGGTTTAGGTCTCTGGCTGTGGAGCAAGAGGCTGCGAGTTCAATTCTCCACCAGGGGCTGGACTTGATCCATAGTGTCCCTTCTAGCCTTGCAGTTCTAAGATTTATTATTATATCATTTAATTAATATTTAAAAGGGAGGTGACTAATCACAATGTGATGGAATTTGGGAAGTCTGAAGCTGACCTAGCAGCCAAAAATAAAAAATTAAACCATGGTCAGTCTTACACTGCATAGCATTTTCAAGCATACACTTCCCGTTCCCAAAATTTTCAGAGGCAACATTTGGGATGGGGAGCTAATCCCTTAGAATGTCTTGGGGGAGGGTCGTTGTGGTGTCACAGGAGGAAATACCCGGTGCAAAAATTGCAAAATTGTGTGTTTGTAATTTGGGAAGTCTGAAGCTGACCTAGCAGACAAAAATTAAAAATTAAACCATGGTGTTCTTGGACTTTAACTCCCAGAAATCCTGGGTAGCAGAGGTGGTGGCGAAGGCTTCTGGGAGTTGTAGTTCAAGAACATCTGGAGGCACAAGGTTGGGGACCACTGCCTTAAAGGACTCAGGCAGACTTGGGTGTGACTGGATCCTGTGGTTTGGATCAGGATCAGCAGGCTTGCTCCTTTTCCCAGTGATCATATGATGTATGGGCCATGGTGAGCTAACCCACCCCTGATCCATGCCTACCTACACAGCTAGGATCATTCATTGGTGGTGAAGGCTTCTGGGAGTTGTAGTTCAAGAACATCTGGAGGCACAAGGTTGGGGACCAGTGCCTTAAAGGACTCAGGCAGACATGGGTGTGACTGGATAGGGGTTTGTCCTGTGGTTTGGATCAGGATCAGCAGGTTTGCTCATTTTCCCAGTGATCATATGATGTATGGGCCATGGTGAGCTAACCCACCCCTGATCCATGCCTACCTACACAGCTAGGATCATTCATTTTTGATTTGGTCTCAGCATGTGTGATGTTTAGGACCGAACCAAAGTGGGTGGCTTAAGCTGTCCCTTTACATACGCCACTTGATCATCTTGGGAAATTGAAAGCTTCCTCCCGCTCATCCGCAGAAAGGGAGAGAGAAGAAGCCATAGGTTGCTTTTAAAGTCCTTGTAATACAGCGTTATGTGATCTGTCACTTAGGGGGGGGAAATTGAAAGCTTCCTCTCTCTGTCCTCCTTCATGGAGAAGCAGGAAGAAGCTTTCAATTTCCCAACTGAAAAATTCTCAGAACTTGGAAGGAGTTACTTTTCCTGCTCTTCCAGAATCCAGAAGTAATAACACATACAATAATATTTTCTGGGAATTGCAAGATCTAAATTGAAACTTTTAAAGTCCTTGTAATACAGCGTTATGTGATCTGTCACTTAGGGGGGGGGAATTGAAAGCTTCCTCTCTCTGTCCTCCTTCATGGAGAAGCAGGAAGAAGCTTTCAATTTCCCAACTGAAAAATTCTCAGAACTTGGAAGCAGTTACTTTTCCTGGTCTTCCAGAATCCAGAAGTAATAACGCATAAAAATAATATTTTTCTCAAGCTCTGGGAATTGCAAGATCTAATTTGAAGGTGGCCAGAGGTTGTTATTTTCTGTGAAAATAATACATATGGCCAAAGCTCTAACTGGAAAGACAACAACAACAACGAAAACATTGTCCATTTGGAAACTGACCCTTAAAATAGTCTCCTCTCTCTCTCTCTCTTCATTAGATGAAAGCCTAAGTTCTAAAATCATGATGGAATTTTGCTATTAATAAAGTAAGGCTATTCTCATCATGAAATTAGCCATTACCACACATATCACTTTCAAAGCCGGTAATGCTCCCAGTAACTTCCAACTTATATCCTTTAACATGTTTAATCTATTTTTACCTTTCTCAAAGCTGCAATGAGTCACAGCCAGCATTGTGTAACTCCCCTCAAAATCTGATATGAAGCCTGCAGGTTTTATTAATGCATTTGTTTTAAGAAGGAACACAGGTACGCCAGGTTATGCTGTGTCTGTGTAACTCAGTGTTACCGACTCTGGCTGGCAGCCGCTGTCAAGCCGGTGGATATTTCATCACCTATTGAACACGCACCTTCTAACTGGAGGTGCCATGGACTGAACGTGAGACCTTCTACTTCACAAAGCATGTGGCTGGCCAAGGAGTCATGGTCCATACATCTCTTCATGGTTGATGTTTGCCTGGAATGTGGAGAAATGTAAACTTATTTCACTTTAGCTCTTAAAATGGATGGGACAGTCTAAGAGGTTTCCAACACAGAAATCATCTGGCAAGGGTGATTTTTGGAAATGAAAAGAACATTAAGAACAGAAGATGCTATGTTATACCAGCTCAAATCCAGTACAGTGGTGCCTCGCTAGACAGTTAGCCCGCGTGACAGTTTTTTTCACTAGACATTGACTTTTTCCGATCACGATCGCGATTCACAAAACAGTGATTCCTATGGAGGAACTTCGCTGGATAATGTTTGGTCCCTGCTTCGCAAACCAATTTTCGCTAGACAACGATTTTGACAGCTCCCTCCGCGCTTGCAAAATGGGTGTTTTCGGGACCTAAGCTTCGCAAGACAGCGATTTAAACAGCTGATTGGCGGTTCGCAAAGTGGCTTTCCTATGGCCGATCTTCGATAGACAACGATGATTCTTCCCCATTGGAACGCATTAAACAGGTTTCGATGCATTCCAGTGGGGAAATGCTTTTCGCTAGACAATGATTTCGCTAAACAGCGATTTCAGTGGAATGGACTATCATCATCTAGCAAGGCACCAGTGTAGAATGCTGCAGCTAGAGCACAAATTAACTGGTATACCCCATCATGATAAACATTACTCTGGGCCATTAACATTCAGAGTTAAACAAACGTAAAGAAAAAAAACCAATCACAAATGTAATAAGAGACAAACGCATATAATCAATAAAACAACCATCAAATAAGTCAATAAAACCAAATGATGGTGAGCAGACCATCTAAAAATAGTCAGTCGTATTACGTTAAGACTGGATGCTGTCCAAGGCTTCAGTAAAGAGCCTTGTCTTGAGCATCCTCTTCAAGGTTGTGGGGCAGGAAGCCACGCGTAGTTCCACCAAGAGCCCATTCTAGAAGGATGGGATACAACTGAGAAGGACCTATTTCTGGCTGATGACTTCCTGGCTTCCCTCTGCGTGGTTACCTAGAGGAACATAGCCTGCAAAGGAACAAGGGACATGGGTGGACGTTTTTAGGGAAAGATGAGTTTCCATTGAACTTATGGTGTCAAACTCCTTCATAAGTTCAACGGGTTTACTCTAGTTGTGACTTATGACTAGATTTCAGCCATTGAGTCAAACCATCAATCTGTCCACGCAAAGACTGAGGACAAAGAGTGCCAACAGCTCATCAGGGGTTCAGGCAGGATTCTTTCCTAGCCCTACATGGAGATGCTAGTTGTTGGCCTTAAGCCCCTTCTATGCAAAAAAGCATGTTCTTTACCACTGAGCAACATTCTTTCCCAAATTAACGCATGGACAACATTACATCTGCAGCAAAAATCTGTGGCTTTCAAGGGTTGGTTCCAACAAAAACTTTAAATGTCACGTTGTTGTTTTAACCTCTACAGAAATAGCTTTGGAAAGTTTCCTGCCAAGCCATCCAGACAAATTTCCAGCAGTACCATTCAATTTTCTTACCAGAGAGCATCAGTTAGGGTTGCCTGCCACTTAGTACCAAATACTCCAGTAGACGTTCCAAACGGATCTCTTAAGTTGCCTTGTTCCAGACCAGGCTACTTATTCATCTGCTTGTCCTGCAAGTCAATGAGAAGAAAGATGTTACTGCATTCTCAAAGGAATTACGAAGAAGACCACCACTGTCATAAAAAAAAACCCAAACACCAAAAAACAACACCCAGCCCAATGCATATTTAGTAACCGAGAAATGTTGACTTCCCATTCCAAGGGTATAGCCCTGCTGGTGTGCAGCAGAAAAAGCAGTGGAAACTCTTCTGGCATCTTTGAGACTGGTCCATGCATTATGGCATAAGCTTAAATTAAATGAAAATCATGGTGTGTAGGAAGTGAGGGACGTGGTGGCGCTGCGGGCTACACCGCAGAAGCCTGTGCTGCAGGGTCAGAAGACCAAGCAGTCGTAAGATCGAATCCACGCAACGGAGTGAGCGCCTATCGCTTGTCCCAGCTCCCGCCAACCTAGCGGTTCGAAAGCATGCAAATGCAAGTAGATAAATAGGAACCACCTCGGTGGGAAGGTAACGGCGTTCCGTGTCTAAGTAGCACTGGCCATGTGACCACGGAAGATTGTCTTCGGACAAAACGCTGGCTCTATGGCTTGGAAACAGGGATGAGCACCGCGCCCTAGAGTCGAACACGACTGGACAAAAATTGTCAAGGGGAACCTAGGAAGTTGACAGTGTGTGTGAGGAAGGAGAGGGGTGACGTGAGGTTGTGAGCAAGAACAAGAAGGAACACTAGCACTGAGGGATGGACCAAAAAGAAGCTATCTGAGTGGGAACTGTTGGCTTCCATGAGCATCAGAGGTTCACAAAAACGAGGTTTATGGTTTATCTAGTCCAGCATTCAGTCCACACTGTGTCCAGCTGGACAGGATATGGGAAGGGCCTCCTCTTGGATGAAATCATCACAGAGCACTACTGCTAAGGGTACGTTTCCCTTGTGGGGGTGCAGAATAAGAGTCATGGGGTTGTTACCACTCAGGCTTTAACTGGTTTGTTCGTTTTGTGTCGTTTAGAAAGTCAGGAGAGCCAGATCCTCAGGGAATCAGAACTAATTAAGGAGGATGTGAAATGACATAGGAATGTAGGAGAAGGCCTTCTCTGTGTTGATGACCAGGTTCTGGAACTCACTGCCCTCAGAGCAGAGTCAGACCAAGGGATATTGCTGCCCGAGGCAGAGCAGAAATGGAAACTACCGCCCCCTTTAGGTTTAGGTGCAAAATCACCAAAGTAATTCAAGCCTGAACTATCTCTGGAGATGAACGGGTTGAAGATGAGGCTGTCCTACTTTGGGCACGTCATGAGGAGACAGCATTCTCTGGAAAAGACAATGATGCTAAGAAAAGTTGAAAGCAGCAGGAGAAGAGGACGGCCAAATATGAGATAGATTAACTCACTAAAAGAAGCCAGAGGCTTGAATCTGCAAGTGCTGAGCAGGGCTATTGAGGACATTTTGGAGATGGCTCATTTATAGGGTTGCCATATGTTGGAGGTGACTTGGCGACTTATAACAACAAGAATGACAGAAGTCTCCTAAATTATTTGGGCTCGGAAGTAGAGAAGCCTTTAAGAACCTCTCTAATTTCTAGCGTGTTGGGAGGGAATCAACAATAAGAAATTAAATAACCAGCAACTTGCTGTTTTTTTCACTAATCCCCAAAATTGCTTCATTCTGCCTCATAGTAGGGCTTGTTCTGACTGGCAGAAATCTGTGCCCTGCTTCTGTCAGCTTTTCGTTGCTGCTTTTTGTTTCACGGAGGTGTTTAAGTTGACTGATTGATTTCCACGTCCTTTGTTTTTAAACCGTTTCTTGGTTGACTTTGTCTTCCCTTGCAGATTGGCTATTGAATGTTTGTATCGCTTGATCGTTTTTCTAAAGGTTTGCGTGTTTCCTTCATCCCTTTTTGACTCCGTCTCTGGAAGTAGATTGCATCCACCTCAGAGTGTCTGGTCAAATTAAAATCAAAACCGAAAGGAAAAGAGCCCAAACTGAAGAGAAGGGGGGGGGAGACACCAAGAGTGGCCATCGTCTTTGATCTATTGTTTCTTGACAAAAATCTTGTGAAAGCTGGATGCGAAAGTAGAACTAGCTCACCCTAGCGAAATGCAGATTTGAGCAAAAGACTATGTTCGCCTTTGAACAAAAGATAGACTCACCTTTGGCGAGTTGGTGCATGTGTTTAGGGGTCTGTAGATCTAATATTCACATCCTTACAAAATTGTGGTCTTCCATACAGGTCAGCCAACCCTGAACTGAACTATTTTCTTTTTGGGTTTTATGAGCGACAACTTTTAACGGGAGAACGTCAGGATAGAGACCTTAGAGAGAACCAGTGTTTGGCGGTCAGATTGTAGAAGTATGTCCAGAAAGGAGTGAGAGGATCTTTTGAGATGCTGGAAGTCAAGAAAGTGGTTGCGGCTTGACTGTGGCCTACAAAGACAGCTATTGACATAGCCGTGGGCGACGCCGCTGGACTCTGAATTTATTAAACAGAAGGCTTCCTCAGAAGCTGCTCAAGAAATCCCAGATGAAATTGTGGAGAGGATGAGACAAGTCTGCTGACATCATGTCTTGGGGGGGAAAAAAGCAACTACTATACTTCTTGGTGAACCCACAACCCTCTTCAATATTATTTAATGACACGGGATGCCATTTCAGCTCTTGGGTTAGGATGAGGGAAAACCCCACGTTTGACAGTTTGGTGATCTACTTTTGAATTATATGTTGTGGAAAAAGAAATGCAATTTCTCTGAAGAGTTTTGTGCCTCATAATACTGATTGCCTTGTTATTCATTCATTCATTCATTCATTCATTCATCCATCCATCCATCCATCCATCCATCCATCCATCCATCCATCCATCCATCCATCCATCCATCCATCCATCCATCCATCCATCCATCCATCCATCCATCCATCCATCCATCCATCCATCCATCCATCCATCCATCCATCCATCCATCCATCCATCCATCCATCCATCCATCCATCCATTCATTCATTCTCACTTCTGAATCCTCCACGAGCGCAAACATTCTCCGGGCAGTTAAATCAAACAATAAAAACCTACAATAAAGCTACGACAATTACATTTAAAAACCCTGTCACTAGCTAAACCAATAAACCTACTGTTAAATAAAATTACAGAAATTAGAACCCATTTAAACATCTCAGATCAATGGTTGATGTTAGCCACACAAATCAAACTACTGTCTTTAAATTATTATTTTTTAAAAAACTTGCCTCTGCAGTATATTGGTCCATTTCATCCTTTGTAACAGTGATTGCGGGTCAAACTTTGAGGACAAAATCACGGTGTAAATCAGCACATGGACAGAAGGTCTCGTGCTTGCCCCAAGGAAGAGACTGTTGTTGGTGTCACTCATGGAGTCAACAATGAGGTCCAACAGTGCCTTTACAAAGAAAAAGAGACACAAAGCTATTTCTGGAGCAGTTTTGGAAGGCAGCTTTCTCTGTGACATGTCTCTACTTCTAGTCGAAACTCTTAATTAACATTTCCATACTACGAGGCTTGGCAGGTCAGCAGTTTCCCATTCCTTGAGCATCCATCCCAGTATGAGCCTCACACTAGGGGGGCGGAGCCATATGATGTCACAGAGGCAAGCTCTTGTGATGTCACAGAGGCAGGGCAGGCAGGGGACAAGAGGGAAGCAATTACAAGGCTGACATGTTGGCTGAGTCATGGGCAACCTATGGGTTCCCAGCTACTTCTTCTAGTGTTGTTCGTTGTGACGTTTGTCCCTCTGCATGGAGACCAAAAGCAGCATAGCAATTTCTTGAAGCTCTGACTTAACAACCCCACGTCCACGGACCATCTGTCTTTCTATTAGAGGTTCACCTGGTTGATAACTTAAAACGTATACGTATTATTGTCCACTACATTTTTCCTTATTTCTTTACCGTCGTGCCGTGGTTCCCAACCTTTTTCGAGTCGTGACCCCCTTTTATCATAGCCAAGTAACCTGCCACCCACCATTGGCATAAAAAGTCATTTTTAATGGGATACAGTCATCCGTTCCCAGAAAGTAGAGGCTTATTTCTCTCCCATAAAGGGTCTGTTTCTCATCCGTAGGCGTACCGGCTAACTTTCCTATCCCGCTCTGAAAGGTCAAGGCAGAAATTACGAAAGAAGGGCTACCAGACTGGTAAGGGGACCACAGCCCCCAGAAAAATACTTTGCAACTTCCTTAGGGGTCATGGCCCCAGGTTGGGAAGCGCTGCTTTTTAAAATGGCTTTTTAAAATGGCCTGATTGGAACAGTACTGATGAATCTAAGGCTAAGAGGATTAAAAACAGCTTTTAATGCGGGTAGTGTTTTCTGCATTATAAGAATGTACATTTTCCTCAAGGAAGAGGATTCCACCATTAAAGGGACTCGGGCGTCTTTGGGCAGGATTTGTCCAAGAAAGTTTGCCTCATCCATATGACATTATGTTATACTCCAAAATTATTGCAGGGGGGTGCCTTTTAGGGAGAAAAAACCCGCACACGGGCTCTGGAATGACACTGCCTATATTTGCTATGACTTGATCTAGGTGAGAAGGATGGAGAGAACGAGAGAGCAACTGCGTGTGCCTGAAAATTTTGTCTGTTTAAGAAGTGAGCAGAGCCTCAGAGTAGGCCTGTGATTGTTAGTGATTAGTGGGTATTTGATGTGACATAAAAATGACTCTGTGGAAAGACGTACAGAGAAGAAAGGCCTCACATAACGCTGAAGGGCACAATCGTAATTAGAGGGAAACGGGCTGAGGGCCACCTGAGCTGACACTTAAGCCAGCCTAGCTTGTGCTGAATCCAAATCCTTCCCAGCCTAAAGAGGTTGGAAATTACTATCTTAACCCTAGCTGGCTGGATAGCTCCGTGTCTTAGGTCTCTGGCTGTGGAACCAGAAGTTGGGAGTTCGATTCCCGCATTGGGCCTCCTGGGAGAAGAACCAGCCTGGGTAGCCTTGGGCAAGCTGCACAGAGTCCCAGGATTTTTCCTAGAAGAAGGGACTGGGAAACCATTTCTGGGTACTCCCTACCTGGAAAG